GGTGCGCTCCCTCACGGTATGCGTCTCGCGAGTCGTCAGGGGCGTGGTCCGCCAAGGGGCTGCCGCCGCCCTAACTTTGGTGAGGCTTCAACTCCCAAAGGTTGACTTGGGCACCATGGCCCTAGGTGTCCTAAAAGAGACCTCCAACAAGGCACTGGAGGAAGCCGAGGAGGCGGTGGCGCCCCTGGTCGCTGTCGTGGCGGGCATCATCGACGACAGGCTGCTGCTGACAGATGAGTACCTAGATGAGGACGATGCGCCATCAGTCCTCCTGCGTCCCCATGACCTGCACAAGGATTCAGTTGTAAAACCCATTGCTATAACTCTGGGGCTTTGTCCCCTTCGGAACAATGCGATGCCGAGGGCATGCCTGCCCGCTAAATGTTTGCACTATTGTTGCCACTTTTACTCTATTCCCTGTTCGTCTCAGTGGGGAGCGCCCCCAGCATCCGTTTTCCCCCTCCTGAGCCCGGTGGTAGTCAGCTGTTAGCTCCGTTAGTCTGGGTCATGCTCGTGTGGCGTTAGGGCATTAGCTTATCCCGTTCGGTGGTCACGAGAGGAAGAAATAGGGTGGTTCTTGAAATGTCCTTGTTTGATTTTGGTAATTGAGTAACAACCTAGGTGGACTAATATGTGGTTATGTGAGAATACATAGGAGATTAGTCCACAGGTGAATATGTAATGAAGGAGCTCATTGCATATGAGACATGACATAGAGTCATGTGACTAAGGTGGAGAAGATCAAGATGAGGCTTGGCTTGATGGACCGGTTGTAAGAGTGAAGGGCAAGTCGGAGGCTTTGAAGTGCTGGACCGCGTGGCGGGATGCTTGAGCAAAGACTTGGCGCCGATGGACCGAAGCAACGGTGAAGAGCAAGTGAAGTCAAGATCGATGAACCAATATGGTCACGTGATGATATATAGTGGATCATATCATTGTTGATCATGTTGGTGCATGTGTTGCATCGACATTGGAGGAGATGAAATGGAATGCGCAAGGCAAAGGTTTAATCTAGGGCATTTCATTTCACCGGTCATAGGTGTGTAGAGAAGTTTATGACCGGATTTAGAATAGATGGCTGTACTATCAAGAGGGGCAAACTTGTTTGCATATCGGTCATCTAGTGCCACTCGAGTGATCTAACTTCGCATCGTTGCTAGGATCGAGTGGCATGGTGAAAAGAGTGCTAATCCTTTTAAAAAATGTTTGTAAAAAGCTAACACACGTGCATAAGGTGGTGTATCTCTTGGTGGTGTTAGCACATTTGCAAAGGAAAAGAAGTTGGAAGCGAGGAGGAGGTCACAGAGAGCTTGGGTTGCTTTTTGGACAATGGTGGACTGTCTGCCCTTTGGTGGCGGACTGTCCACGGTCCTCGGACGCTGACGTTTGGGAGGGACCGGACATGACGCTCGCACTGTTCATGGTCTGACAAGTGAACGGCAGACTGTACGTGCCTGGGTGGTGGACTGTCCGCCGGCTAAAATTGGTGGCTGAGTTGATCGGGTGCTTTGCTCTCTGGGTTGCCTTGCTCTCGGTGCTGAGCAGGAGCGAATGGAATGGTCTATCTTGGACTGGTTCTCTTCCGCCTCCCCCTCTAGGTTCGGCCTTATCCCTTATATAACGAGATAGGTTGGGTACATGGCGGTTTGGGGAGATGAGTCTACGGTCTACATGCGTCGAAGTCTAGGAGGGTCTTACAGCGACGCTCTGTGGACCGTAGCGGTGTCGTGGAGCCGAAGAAGCCTTGGGCGTCGTCCGGCTGCTTTGTTCTGACACTCTGCGTGTCAGGTTGTGTCGGCTTGGACCGGCCTCCCCCAGGTGGACCTTTTGGAGTCTTCTTTGTGGCGAAGGAGGTCGGCTCCAGGGGCTGACGCGCGGGCTCGGGAGTTGCCCAGCCCTGGAGGTTGTGGGAAGCTTGTCTTCTTTGTGTCGCGCCCTGTGCGTGACCCTGTCGCGGAAGTGGCCGGCAAGGCCACGTCTAGAGTGCGATGTCTAGGAGCCAAGGCCCAAGCTCGAGCGTGTCGTCGATCGGGAGCCTGAGGCCCGGGCGAGCCCCCGAGCCCTGTGCGGGGCTGCGCCGTGCCCAGGCTTGGTCAGGTTTCTTTGTCGGAGGGTGCGCGCAAGCGTACCCGATGGGTATAGCCCCCAAGCCCTCGGGCGATTATGGAGGGGTCGGTCGGGGGTCCCTTCGGTCGGGAATCATTGATCCCGAGACTTAACATACCCATATGTTAGGATCCCGTCACCAACCAACTTATCACAACATGCTAGGAGGTGGTACTAAACTAATAATGTATATGTGTGAGCTTGGAACTGTGAGTGTATCATCCCTATAGCGACTATCATACAATTAAGCCTAGCCTCCCTAACCACGTATTTGGGAGATGTGCTAAAGAACCACAACATAGCCTTCACATTAATTCTCGTGAGATGTGCTAAAAAAATCCTAGATTTTTTGCAAAATTTAGAAAGATACATGACCAAGTATGGTATCGTGATACTTAAAGAGTGCAATCCATGATCTAAAAAGTTTTTTTCGGAAAATAACAAAAGAGACTTAACAAAGATACAATAACCAAAAGATTCAGATTAACTTAAGGATTGAAAATCTGTATGAACTGACAAGACTAAATTTAAAAACCAAAATCTATAACATGTGCCCCATAAGATGTATTCTAAGATTCTAACCGTGTAGGCGAGCACGGGCTGATAACTGTTCCCTTTTTATAGCGTGGGAGAGATTTTAGTTTTTCCACCCCGGGTGGAGACAAAGTAGGGACTTAGCAATTAGTAACATATATATGTAATTGATTATTCATTTTCCAGTAGTATCCTTAGCAGCCCTAACTAAATTTCTACGAGTGTGAATATGAGAATTATTACAAGCATAAAACCCAAACGCTTTGTAAATCCGTGTCCTGTATCCAGCTGTTGGTAACCCTCATTACTGACACTGGGTTTGTAGCTTGCCAACTCTATTCCATCTTAATGAAAAACGTGCTAAGCCACGGTCGCTAAAAAAAGAGAAAATGGTAAGGAAGGAATATAGACACAAATATATGGTTCTAAATCCTGCATGTGTTGCTGGCTACGGTTTCAAAATTTCTATCACCTTACATCCCCTTTTTTTAGGCAGCAAAAAGAAATTCCCATCGCTTTTCTTCGTTCCAGTAGAGAAAATTGCATGAGTTGCATGTACTAGCAGCATATGCTGAGTAGTGGATTCTCTCTTACTTCTGACTTTGGAGTTTGGAGCCCAAGCTTTCTTTTTCCTATACCCTTTTCCAAAAGATGAATGAAATCGCCACAGCCATCAACGATTCAGCCGCTTGGATCCACACACAAAATGTCTCACAGTTCGGGCACCTCTGGATGCATTTCTTCCTTAGCGTGAGGTAGTTTCTTTTCTTCAGGGGTGTCAACTGTCAAGCAATCCAGTTAATTACTGGAAGCCTTGTAAATCTGCGTGCTGCTCGCACGCTTTGTAGACTCTTTCTCTACTTATAAATACAAGCCGGCAACGGACGGATCTTTCAAAAACCAAAAAAAAAAAAAAAGAATCGTGAATTCCATGGTTCATGAAGGCAAATGTGAGTTCCACTGATTCAGCCATGGCACTGAATCTGCATGCTCAAACTTGAGAATACCTGACTCATGTTCAGAAAGCAGCATGTACATGAAGTCTGGTGGTCGGAAGAGAGATGCACGCTGGCTGTCGCTTATTTCTCTACCCAATGCACAATGATTTGTCAGTAGCAAAAAAAAAAAAATGGTAGGATTATTCTCTCCTAATTGCTGGTCCAAACTCAGAAAGGAGAGACAGAGAGAGAGATGAGGAGAATGTGACTGTCCCTAGGACGAACAGCAAGCCAAGCTGGAGGTGTCATTTTCCTATGCCTTTTGACACCCCTGTCTGAACGCGTCGAGCAGCAGTCAGCTCTGGCTGGCCGCTGCACGAGTAAGCAGGGTATCAACAAATTCAACTGACCTCCATGCTTTTAAGCTGTAATGTACTCCTTTGAATCAATTCAGTTTTCTTTTGTTGTAAAAAAAATCAATTTTCTTTTGGATGAATCCATGCTGTTGTTGTCGCGTGCACGCATGGTCTGGCCCTGCGTGGGATCGAATAACAGCAATTGGCTAATGCGCCGCCAAGCTAACAAATCTGCAACCTTTTCTCTCTCCGGTGCTTTGGTTCACTGATTGATTGATTTATATCACTGCTGCTCTTGACCTGAGACAGCGATAACACAACAGCAGATGGAGTTTAAAACAGAGCCGGCACAGCTAACAACGTGGCGGCACAAGATCCGATGAGAGAGCATTGAGCCATTGACCATCTAGACTCTAGAGGGAGGGAGGCTCCAGCTGCAACTGCCTTTGCTTTTGGTTTGCTCCGAGTCAGCCGCCGTTGAACATGGTCATCAACACAACACTATCTCCGTTCCTCAGGATGTACAAAAACGCAAGCAACAACAGCAAGTCCTGCAAGCAACTGAAGATATATTCCTCCCCCCTCATTTCAATAGTGACCAAGTAACAAGGCAAGGCGATCTTGTCTGGCTTAGTGCTGTGGTGCAAATAATAACAGTGATGAGCAGTGCCGGGCAGAGGAGGCATGCCAGCCAGGCAGCCAGAGCCGAGGGAGAGTGCCATGGCCGTGTCTGCCTCACAGGGTGCAGTCGCCCATGGCCTCCACATGCACCTCGTCACTCGCTGCCGCCGGCGTCCTCCTCCTCCTTCCATCCCGGCTCCATCAAAACCCTAGAACAAAACCAGTTTATTTATTGTTATTCTGTTTTATTACTATTTTACAGCAATATTAAAGAACTAGTTTATTAACGAGTAGAGGGTAACGACGCTCAATCATGTCCTCTCGATTCTTAAAAAAAAAAAAAGTCGACGAAATCTACAGGAAACGAAGAGCTATATAAACTCATGCCGCGTCCATCCCTGGCAACGCGCTAACCAAGCTAGCTAGCAAGCATCGGCATTCGGCCATGTCCAAGCCAAGGTGAGTGCGCTGGCTGCCGGCGTCCATTATTTTTGTTTGGTTTCACGGGCTGCGACGTGCGGTGCAGCAGCTCGTGCAGTGGTGCACTGACACGGTTTGGGGGTTTCCGATCATCGTCGGCGACTGCAGGTTGGACGGCAAGGTAGCGATCGTGACGGGCGGCGCGAGCGGAATCGGCGAGGCGGCGGCGCGGCTGTTCGCGTCGAGCGGCGCCACGGTGGTGATCGCGGACGTGCAGGACGCTCTGGGCGAGGCGGTGGCGGCGTCGGTCGGGTCCGACCGGTGCACGTACGCGCGGTGCGACGTGACGGAGGAAGCGCAGGTGGAGGCGACGGTGGCGCGCGTGGTGGCGGCGCACGGGCGGCTGGACGTGATGCTGAGCAACGCCGGGGTGCTGCTCCCGACGGGGTCGGTGATGGACATGGACCTGGCGCAGCTGGACCGCGTGATGGCCGTCAACTTCCGCGGCGCGGCGGCGTGCGTGAAGCACGCGGCGCGCGCGATGGTGGCGTCCGGTTCCGGCGGCGGCGCCATCGTGTGCACGGCGAGCGTGGCGTCGCTGCAGGGCGGGTTCGGCCCGGCGTCGTACACGGCGTCCAAGCACGCCCTGCTGGGCCTGGTGCGCGCCGCGGCCGGGGAGCTGGGGCGACACGGCGTGCGCGTCAACTGCGTGTCCCCCGGCGGCGTCGCCACGCCCCTGAGCTGCGCGCTCATGGGCGTGGGGCCCCGCGAGCTGGAGGCCATGACGGTGCCGCACAACGTCCTGCAGGGGAAGGTGCTGCGGGCGGAAGACGTCGCGGAGGCCGCGCTGTTCCTGGCGTCCGACCAGGCCGCCTTCATCAGCGGCCACAACCTCGTCGTCGACGGCGCCACCACCGCCGTCAACGCCGCCGTGCTGCACACCGTCGGGCTGTGAACGACGAACGATCGCTGCTACAGTAGATACATGCATACATACATACACTTTCAGTGCAATGTTTCTTTCTTTTTTTTGCATTGGTTGCCATCAAGAAAACTGTTTTCGTTTCTCCCTCTGTTCATGCAATTCTCCAATCTTCCCTCTCCACCATTGCTGAAGCTGAGCACTCGTGCTATGCTTTGCTGCGTCATCAACGATGAACTCTGTAAAACAAACAGCTGCGCCATTGTTGTTCTGCCATTTCCTTTCCTTTCATGGAACCAAACCAAACAGATCGTGCAGTGCAAGTGTGCAATGCAAGTGGGTGGATTTGGATTCGGATTCCGAAGTCTGAACACGACCCGAGGATCACGTGGCGCTGACAAAAAAGCGAGTGGACTGACAACTAGTCGTTGTGGTTGCAAATCGTAATCACTGCCGTTTGACACTTGACAGGCAGAGAGATTAGTTTAACAGTTGTGTGTCTGATTGAGCAGACTTTGAGATCTTGCCCTAGCAGCAAGCCAGGAACGGGACCAAAGTTTCGAGGCCAGCGCTTCTGCCTGACGGACATAGATAGAAGTGGAGGACAGTGTGCAGTGCTGTTCGCAACTGAAACAGTAACCTTTTTTTTTAGGTCAAAACAGTAACCTTTCACTGGTCTGACCGACTAGAGGTGTTCAATTATAGCTTTGTGCACAACTTTAGTCAACGGCGTAGGACTAAACTTTAGTCAGCTAATCTACCTCTATAATACACCGGTTAAAATAAATCTACAGCGACACAACAAATGCCTGCTCCACAATCATGATCTATGCTACATCCACACCCATGAATGCACCCAGAAAATATAACACCATCAAAACGGATACACCATATTATCTCTTAGACATTCTCTCTCATTACTCATCCAAATCCGACGGCTCATGTTTAGTGTGTCTGCCCTCCATCGCCCTCCCGCGGACCTCCCACGCGTATGCGCCTGCAGGTCAGGCTCGCGTTGATTTCGGTTGCCCCCCTCCACGATCATTTGAATCCTAGGCCGACGGCACATGAAGCGGCGACCGTGAGCGAGACGGCACACTGCAGAGGGCACGACGACCACGAGGGGCACGACACTGGGCGCGGCGGCGCAGATCGCCACTGCCCGGGGTCGGCGACGGTTGGGTACGCAGTACGCGGACACGCACGTAGGGCCACGAGGGGCACGACACTGGGCGTGGCGGCGCAGATCGCCATTGCCGGGTCACGGTGAAGGAGGCGCGGCGGCGCGCTGCATCAATCTAAGCGATGGTCGCGGGTTGGGCACGCAGATGACGATGGCGGAGCCATAAGTGGCTGGGGGCCATGGCCCCCAATGTTTTACAACAACAAAAAATAGTAGTATGACTTAATATTTTTTATTTATATTAAAAGGGAGATTATATAAAATTCTTGTCATATATACCTATTAATATCTTCTAGATAATATAATTATACAAAACACAACTAGATAATAAAATTATCGTAATGAAAAAGACCAAGCCGGCCCCCCTAAGTGTAATTCCTGACGGCCGGCCCCCCCTGACTATAAATCCTGGCTCCGCCACTGGCAGTACGTGGACACGCACGCACGAAGGCGGCGCCACGGCCAACTATGAGGCGTTCATTGGCTTCATATAATCCTAGAGGGCAGCGGCGCGGACAACTGGGACGCCGCGTCCGTCATCAGCTGGGCGTCATCGGACCATCCTACGCCATCAGTCATCGTCATCTTCATCAAAGTGTGCTCTTGCTCGCCTCGTCCTCATCAAGGACGTTCACTGCGGGCCTGTTCGGCAGGACTGAAAAATACTGTTTCGGCTGATTGTTGTGAGAGGAAAATACTGTTCTGGCAGGACGTGAATAGTGATTTTATGAGGTAGCTGGCCAGCCAGCCAGCCGAACACGGAGTTTCAGTTTCAGTTTCTTCAAACAATTGTTAATGGTTTTCTTGGCTACCTCCGCGCTCTCAGTTTCAGTTTCTTTTCTTCTTCCTGTAGCTTTTCAGTAACTTCGGTACTCTGCAAGACATGGTGTAATTCAGCTTCTATTTTGATTTAGTTATATGTCTCCGGTTCAGATTACACAAAACCGATACAAGGCGTTCTGGTTTTAGTATATCAATAAGAGTATCAAGTTAGCAGAGTTGTTTCCCCTCACGTTCTCAAGTTTAACGATTATTACTTTAGTCAGCTAATTTTAAGTAACTTCACAATTAGTTATAGCGACCAGTGGACTAATAACTAGTTCAGTAGTCCTAGGTGATCTAAACATGACGCTCATACTATTGCCGTAAAGAGTTCAGTGGTCACTGGTCGGTACAACGCAATGGACGCCTGAATACGCCCAGAGCCTTCAAAAGTTCAGATGCAGCATTGATGATATTCAGATGGATCCCATCTCGTTCTGGGTTTGTCAATATGCTTTTCTGAATCAGAATTTTTAACGACGAGAATTATGATTTATGAACAGATAAACAAAACAGCCGCCTAAGATTAACGCTCGAGGTAGATCCTTTTCTTCCTCTGGTTTTGTGGGAGAATGGTCTGGAAAGAAAAAACAGAAACGTTTGAAGAATTTTAGATCTAGCAAGGTCTCCGGTGCAAAAATGCGCTCACACCATCGTTTCCCTGGGCTAATCTGGACCGCTTATACTCGATCAGACGGTCGTTCTGCCTCTACGAAGGCCGCCCTTCGTCTTTCTCCCCCACCTGTTCCGTTTCCGTCCCGGCGTCTCCCTCTCCTCGCCGCCGCCGCTGCCGCCAGAGATGGGCCGTGCGCCAGTGAACGGTAAGCGCTCACCGCCGCCGCCTCCTCCTCCAGGACGTTGCCACTTCTGGCTCCCCAACAAGCGCCGCCACTGCGCCAACTCCTCCCTCCCGTCCTCTCAGTGAGCAACTCCCGCCAAGCTTCCTCGCTCGTCAGCCTAACCCCTGAACCCTAACCCTAGCCCCTCCTGTTCCTGCTCCTGCTCCTCAGGTACTGCGGAAACCACCTTCCCGAGTCCGCCTCCGGGGCCGGCCGCCGCGTCCCCTGCCCCGTCGACCCCTCCCAGTAAGCCTGTCCCAGCACCCACTCACCATTCGGGTCGGCTCCAGCACCACCGCTAACCCCCGCCTTCTCTTCTCTTCTCACGCGCAGCACGGTGCTCGAGGAGAACCTGGAGGCGCACGTCGGCAAGTGCCCCCTGAAGAAGCAGGTCGCCGCGCTCACCGCGCAGCCGTACTACTCCAGGGGCATCAACTCCGGCGCGGGTGAGCCGGGCTGCGGTGTGACGTCGGCCGAGAAGCGTGCGGCCGTGTACAGGCTTACCGAGGAGGAATTCCGGTCTCTGCTCGGGAAGATCCGGTCGGTGCACGCGGCAGCCTCCGCGGCGATACGGGAGTCCTACCTGATCACTGGTGCTTGCGATAAGTGGATGAGCGGTCAGGTCGATAGGTGGGGGGTCAAATCCACATTTTGGGAGTGTGAAGCTCATTCTTCTAGTGGGGAGTGATTTCTGTTGATGGATTGGATTACAGGATGGTGCCGTACCAAGAGAAGCACGTCGTGCAGCAGGCGTCCATTGTTGGAAACATGGAGACATTTGGCTTGCTGCGGAAGGGTAGCGATGAGGTGGTTGATGGAAAGAACGCGGCGGTGAGTGCTCAGGCAGTTGTGGAGTTTGGAGCTGGAAGAGGGTACTTGACTCAGGTGCTGGTGGACTGTTATGGGATCACGAATGTGTTCTTGGTTGAGAGGCGGTCCTACAAGCTTAAGGTCAGTAAGTCTAAACAAATTTTTATGTTTCTGGGATAAGATCCACTTGATCTGTATTAATGCTTGTTGTTGGTTACTTTATCTTGTTAAGTGCAGCTTAACTTCCACAAGGCCCTCAAATCTGCATCATAGTTAGGCTCAATAACCTATACATAGTCTCTAAATTTTTTTTGCACAAAGGAGTGTCAGTTTTTGTGACCTCTTGGCTTTTGCAGCTTTACTATCCTTGATGTAGCCTGTATTTAGCAAACGAATGTTAAGATGCATTGACTTTGTGTACTAGTGCAATGTGTAGTTGTGTGTTGTTTCTAGTGAGGTGAGTTTATGGTCTTAACTTGTTACTCTTTTCTGAATTTAGTACCACTGCCGTCGTTTTGGATATAATGTGTTATTTTCTAGAGTAAACTTGATTGTACTGTGAATTTTCTCTAACAGAACAACTTGCTGTTATGCTAAATCTAATTTGTCCAAGATATATAAGTTCTTTCACCTCCTGATTAAGTACCTGTTCCCTTCCCTCTACACTTATTAGGCTGATCGAAGCTTGCGTCAAAATGAAGATGTTACCTTGGAGCGTTTGAGAATTGATAGTGAGCTTTCTTTTCATTTCTGTATTTATTGGGTTATATCCAACGTAATGAATTTTGAGTGTTCTGCACTTGCAAGCACCTTCTTGAATGAATCTTTCTGTGTGCGACGGAGTTGCTTCATTTGATCATTTATATTTCTGTGCTTGTACTTTATTTTATAAATATAAGCACTGATTAGAAACATAAACGCAATACAGTTGAGGATTTGAAACTGCACGGAATAGAGGCATTGAGGGGGCTCCAATATCTAGCAATTGGAAAGCATCTGTGTGGACCTGCCACAGGTTGTCCTAATTTTTGAAATTTATGCCTTCATTTCATGTTGAGAAAAGTTGAGAATATCTAAGAAAATTTATCTTCCATCTCCAGATATGACCATGATGTGCTGTCTTCCTGAACGATATGACCAAACAGAAGAAAACAGCAAACATAGTCTTCAAGGCCTTGCTCTAGCTACCTGTTGCCACCATCTTTGCCAATGGAAGCATTACACAAGTAATTTCCTTTTTTTTTAAGCATGCTAAGCATTTCAACACAAAAAAGAATTTGAATCTGTCTGTCACTTTCACCTCATCTACAGATATACAAAAGTTTGTCTTCCCTTGAAAGTTACAGCAAAACTTGTTAAATTGCATGCAAAGTAATTTGTTTTCTTATCGCTGCAGATAAATCTTTCCTCTTGGGACTAGGTATCACAGAGGAAGAATTTCATGCCATGACATGGTTTAGCAGCTGGGCTGTGGATGGTGATCATAGCTACCCAGATTCTCCTGTGGAGGTTGAAGACACGTCCTCTGAAGTCAGGTAGGTAATTCTCAATCATCAGACAAGTGCCATATGGTATTTTAGGTCTTGCCTTCATTTCTATTGTGGTTAAATACTGTCTGTTCGAATCTCTACACTCTAGTGTCATTCTGTGCATCATGCCTTGTCATCGCTAGGTTATTTATTTTTCGACGTTTGTGGTTTAAAGAACTCTCATAATTCACTTTCTGGAACTTCAACTTTATTGTGTCATGCCATTGAAAACTTGATATTTGTTTTATGCCATTTTGTGTTGGACTAGAGAACTAGAGAAGCTTGATCAGGACACCATCGGAATTGAGAGAATAATCCGAAGTATACCAGCAGGGGAGAGGGCCTCTCTGGGATCCATGTGTAAAGATATCATTGATACGGGGAGGCTACTATGGCTTGGGCAGAAGGGTCTGGTTGCTGATCTTGTAAGCTATGTTCCATCCAAAATTTCACCAGAAAACCGTCTACTCATCGCAAAATGTACATCTTGATTTGGCTGAAAAGCAAGTGCATGTATTTCAGCCCTGCAAATTTTCAGGAGCTTGGATTGTAAAAGATAGTTTCAACAAATACAATCTTAAGTTTTTCAGCATCATTCCAAGAAATACTATGTCTCAACGATTATACATACAAGAACATGTTTTATTCTGATGGTTCACAAAATCTCCGCAAGGAATGAATTCTACAATAAAATGGATGAATGGAACGGAAGCACGTTAGGCTGTAAATATAGTTGATATTGACGATATATAAGCTTACAGCAGCAACACTGCAACAGGATCCTGCTTTAAATACAAAGGAACTTCACACGGTAATTATGTTCCTTTGATCTTAGCCACAACACTGCAACAGAAGGGCGGGCCTGGCGCAAGCGGTAGAGTCTTACCGCCTGTGACCGGAAGGTCCCGGGTTCGAGTCACAGTCTCCACGTATTGCACAGGCGAGGGTAAGACTTGCCACTGACATCCTTCCCCAGACCCCGCACAGAGCGGGAGCTCTCTGCACTGGGTACGCCCTTTTTTTTATCTTAGCCACCACACTAAAACTCTCAACTTACAAACAACAGGTAGACTTATTTCATCCTAAAACTTACATCGGTCCACGCTCCAACAACTCCCATCTGAATGTGGGCGCGGCATAAACCCTGGGAAAGGTGTGAAGGAGTATGCCCACGCAGACACAAACCACAGCAACTCCCATCACAGTCAACATTGCTGGCCTATAAAGGAAGGTCCTTGATGCAGAATTTGGATACACCCGTGCCTGACGGCTGCAGAGGAGGCAACTTGGCACTGATGCAGACATTGGCCTGCAGATCTCGAGGCTAACATCGCCAGGCTTAACACCATCAGTTATTACAGAGCATATACTGCTCGGAACACCGAGGACAACCTGGCCTTTGCCAAGATGCTTATCCATCTTCTTTTGGACCAGATTCAGGTAAGCATCATTGCCTCTCTGCCGAGCATAGTCTTCTGGGGTAAAACCTGTTTCGTCCCGTGCATTGCTCCAAGCACTAATTCCAATCTGCATGGGATAAGTCAAAACAGGGATGTTAGATATAACTATTATCATTCGACTCTATTAATTAAATTTAAAATATATGCAATGCATGTGACATCTGGTAACTCATGTATTCATCACTTCACAGTTGAATGTATGTGTAAGTCTGTGCTTTAGTGAAATAATAAAACATCAAAAGAATGATAATTTACTAAATTTCTAATGATCTACTGTTGTAAATTAATATAGCTCAGCTTGAGGTGGTGGAAAGAAAGAGGCAAAATTCCAAGAACTAGAAAAGAGAATACCAGTCCAGGATCATCGGTCAGCACATCCAACACGTCCTCTGCATCACTAGTGGCAGCTGCTATATGGAGGGGGGTAATCGTTGAAGGGCCCAGAGCATCAGGTCTAAATAAGTATGTCTGTGCAGTTCCCTTCGAGTTTTTATTTGGTTTGTATCTCAGCAGAAATCTAACCATGTTAACAGACTTCCTTCGTACAGCAGCATGCAACAAATTTTCTGAAAGCACCACCTCTTCTGGAGATCGGGATCCCACATCAACAAGGCCAATAAATAAGAAATCTAACAGCATTTTGATCACAGCACACCACTCCCGCTCCATGGCAAATACACCAAGATTCCTGAATCTCCACATGTTAAAAGCAGCTAGAGATGTATCAGTTTCATCCTCTTTAGACATTCTGTTCGCTCTATGAAGAAGCCAACCCAGCTCATTTAGAAACTCCAGAGCTTGGTCCCTGGCATTATCATTAACATTTGCATGTTCGTTACTGGAGGACTCAAATATGCTCTCCAGCTCAGAAACCTCAGAGCATACATCCTTCTCAGCAATTATGAAGGGGAAGAAGCCATTGCTAAAACCACTATCTTCGACCTGAAATTGCAGGTGATATTCAGGGGGGATTCAAGGTTACAGAAGAAAACCAAAATAACCGCATCATAAGAAAAGCTCTATAAGTATATTTTGTTCTCGAACAGAAGTTATATAATTATATTTTGTTCTCAAACAGAAGCTATACACGTATAACTATATGTACCTCTATAAATCCTCTTCCTCTTGGACCAGGAACAGAACAACAAAAACTGAGGCATTCGATGTCCCTATCCTCACATTCAGCATTCTCTGCTACAGAGTCCGTGTCTTCCTGGAATATACAACGTCCTTCAAATGAACAAATTAGCCTGCAAACATGAGAAGATGGTATTTAGATGTAAATGGATAAGCTGAAGGAAACATCAAGGTTTATTTGTATATACTTCATGAATAAGTTAATCTGAATTAAAGATGATAAAGTACCTTGAGGAAGTACTGAGTAGGTTAAAACCTTCGACTCTGAAATTTATTGTTGCAGAATAAGGTGCAGCAACAGGTTTGACACATAAAATCTTGCAGTAATCATGAGAACTGGGTGCCAGGGGTCTGTCCAACATAATTTGACCTGCAGCAACATGAACAGCAAAGCTTGATAGTTAACAAATTTCCTACATAAAGTATCCAGAATAAAGCTTGCACAGCAGCATCACTGTATAAGAGCAGCTAAGTGCCTGGGATTGGCTCACCATTGAGCATAAAAGCTAAGTGGCGTCGAACCATCACAAATACCAAGCCAGATGCCCAGAAGTCGTCAGTGGAGCTACTCAAAAGCTTATCCAGATGCAGGCTCATATTCTCAGAAAGCTGTAGAAAAGACCATTAATAACCAAACAAGGAAGGCACTATTTTGACATGAGAATTCAGAAAGGAAGCATACCTCTTGCCATGCAGACTCAACTAACCGAAGATATACTGTCAGAATAATACAGCCAGGTCTAATATGGCTTTCTATATCAGTAGGGCTACTCGACAACCAACCAAGAATCTGAAAAATCAGGATTTTAAGTGTTAGGTTCAGGATATATTTTCTTGCCGCGCGCTGAGAGAATGCATAATTTACCTGTGACCGCAAAACTGGAGGTAAGTCACTGGGAACTTTGTTGAAAAGCTTGAAGACAATCTTATCAGTTCGGCACTGCAGACAAAACAATAAGAATCAGGTGTTTCACAAGATGGCATCTAAGTATAGTAAGGTGCAAATCCATATGGAATAATATGGTAAAATTAGCATCTTGGTGTTTGCATAAGTGCTGCCAAGACTATGGCCCTTAACATGAATTCTCTTCATCAAACTCTCCATATATATGTCAGAAGGCTGTCCAGTTCATGTTAGTCCTTTTCAGTGTTCACATGTCATTTTTGTTGAGCAGAGATGCAATCAAAAGTGTGTCTGATTGAAGTATGTATCTTTGAAGAAAAATTTAGTGGCACAAAGTAGCTTTTTACTTCTAGGCTTGGATCTTCGAGATTGAACACTTGTTTGGTTCATTTTCCCATCAGAAATCACTCTAGCATATGTTTTAGTTCTTGACAGTGATGGCTATCACAACTTCTAGTAAAGGTATTAAAAAAAGTCAGGTAGGTGTAAAAGTCAAAAGGTTGAACGATTAAAGGTAGGAGTTATTAAATCCCTAAAGCCAAGTATGGATTCACAATCTAGTCCTACATAAACCAAATGTATTGATGTCTTTCTCCCTCATTCAGGTGCACTGAAAATCTTATTCCAATTCAAATTCCAACCTTGAATATTCTCCACCTAAGTTCGTTGCCGATAACAGCTTGATGCATATGAACATATACTATTCCAATAACATATTGATCATTAGTGAGTTGTCAATTTCCCATTAAAAATTATAGCCAGACAAACTGTCTCACTAATATATAAATCTGTTAATATACAGGTTGCTAAGTCGTAAGAGAGCTCACGATCTGTCCTTTGTCATTCTATATGTTTGCAAGGAATAAAAGACAAACCTGAGTGTCTCCATTTGAGCTTGACAATGATTGTGTTGATGTTGAATCTGAGTTGCCACTAGTCTGTGGTGGACTTTGAGTAGAATCTTGCTGCATCCATGATGCGCAATTAGGAGAGTCAGCTGTCTTAAAGGCAGGTGTAGGTGAACCTTCTTGCCCATCCTCAAAGCTTTCCATATCATTGCAAGTGTCATTCAGATCAAAATCCTTAAGCTTGCATGATGCAGGCTCTGTGCAGTCAGGGGAAAAAATTAAGCTGAAATTGTTAATCAGAAAACAATTTCTGAAGGTTTAACAGTGGTTGTCCATCATACCTGGAATTACCACCATGGTAGCCTTCGATTGTACTGGCACAACAGATGATGATGCCTGTCCACAATGACTACCATTCACAAAAGGCAGCTTAGAGTTAGATGGCCCTGCAGCCTCTTCTGCGGCATTAGCTGTTCCAGAGGCTCCAGCATTCAATCCATTTTGCAGGCTTTGGTATGCCTCCAGGAGTTTACATAGTTCTTTTGGCTCCAGTGATTTGGCAACAGATCCTAGGTTCTTCAAAAGAGTGGATAGCAACTCCTGGCCGTTTGAATTCTGAACGTTGTCAGCTGCAAGGAGAATTCTAGGAGTCATGTACCTTCGTGAATATACAAGTAGTTCTGCAGAATACATATATGAAATACGTATGTGGTGTTCATGTGATTCGGTAAACAGAATACAGATTCCATGATTGCTAGATTGATCCACATGGATTAATGAAGATTGAAAAGATAATGGATTTTTTTCTTTGATAATTAAGAAACTTAGGATTCAAATTCTCCAGAATGGAAATGAGGGAATGTCCACAATATCCGGAAGGTCACACAGCTAGTAATTGCAGCATTCTGTCAGTGAAAGATGTTAAATCTCAATATGATATCCTAACATGCAGCTGATGGAGGAACTTCATGTGACTGTGAGCAATCCTAGAATTGTCTAAATAAACCAATACATGAAACTTCAAGCACACTGAATACCATGTAACATCCTTATGGCCCTAAGACTACTAAATTTTCATCAACACGTCAAATAGAGTAAAAAGAACTCATATACTCCTGTAAAAATGAGTATGGTCGCTAAACTTGATCTAAGTCTATACTCCACACCAAGAAAATTTCGCCAAAACATTACAAACACGATTTCATAACACTGAAGGGAAAAGAAAGAAAAATGTATATGTGGTATAGCAAAGTTAGCAAACTTACAGTTCAAATTAGCACAGATTCCAATAAGACTCAACAATAAATAATTGCTGACTTTGTCCTCAATTGAAGCAGTCCCACCAATTGCAGTATCAGGGTGAGTTTTCCTCCTGCGTCTATTGTGGCCTGCTAAGCGTCGCCGGCAACTTCGCTTCCCTTCATCGAATTCTTGAAGAAGGTGAAATCTGCACAAGAACATGTACGATACTTACAGAGAACTTGGGGAAAAAATGTTCCTTAAGTATACAGTGTCATGAAGTTCTAAGCATGAAACTATTTAACCACTTCCCCCAGCATCACCCTTAAACCTTGTCTGTGCACAGTGAATGCTCTGATATCTAAACTAAACTACAATTTCCTTGCAAACAATTTTCACTTAAATGTTGATATTTCGGTCTAAACGTGATAAATCATAAATGTGCCTTTTCATCTATTTCCTTCTCCAGATGTCACGGATTATGGCGATTCCCAAAGATCAAAGGTTGGAAAACATCATGATGGTCAGAGTTTGCACATGTCTCAAGTCTGTGTCTAGCTGCGCTAAATGTAACTTGCATAAGATATTCTACCCATTCGTTCTTTTATGAACAAATAATTGCATGTGATTGAAAGGTAATAGAAGCAGGCAGAACCATAAAACTAACCTACTACATTGCTGGCAGAACCTCTGGACAGTGTCCCCGACCACGGCGGTACTGGCCTTAGCATGCATCTCGCAGACCTTGTGACGACGGTGGTAATCCTTCGCTGCAGTCAGATCTGCTCCACAGCCCTCAACCTGGCATGCCGGCCCACTTGAGCTGCCTCCTTGCACCCTGATCTTCTTTCCGTTTCTCTCATCCTCATTTACATCGCTGTTCTCCATCGCTCCAACACCAGCAGAACTACCCCCAACTCTCAAGCTGAGCGACCCGCCACCATTCACGACCGTATCCTGATCCTCCGTTTCATCATCATCAATGACCACAACCCTTTTCCTTTTATCAGTGTCACCTCTCAAGCCACCATTCCTAGCCACCTCTTCCTCGGCTTCCTCAGACGACGACGGCGAGCTGTTCAATCCAGAGCCATTTGCTGCCTCAGCAGGCACCGGTGTGGCAACAAAGCGCTGACTGTCCCAGCTCCAGTCGTTGAGGTCCCAGCCAAACACCCTGTTCTCGCGCCTGTTGAGGTCAAGCTCGCCCAGCCCGCCGCCGTACAAGTGGCTGCTCTGCGTGCCGAACCTGGCGGCCTCCATGTCCCCTCACCTCCCAAAACCCTACACGAACTTTCTTCGATCACAGCTAGCCTCTCGGACTCTCCCAAGGAGCGCAGCAACCGCAGGAGCCGAGAGATCTAGTCGGCTCCCCTCCCGCTCTGGAAATCGACGAACGTGACGCCCACGCAGCCCCGGATCCACACCAGAGAAACCCACATGCCCTCGCGCCTCCGCCTCCGGCAAGCGGGAATCAGAAGCACCACCACCAATCCGAGCTCATGGGGCGCGAATCACCGAAATATTCCAGGGAAAACAGAGAGAGTACCGAAGCGAATCAGCGGGGTGCCGAACCGGGCGAATTGGCGGCCCAGGCCGCTGCTCCGTGGACGAATCGAGCTCCGGAGTCGACGAGCTGGGCGAATCCGGCGGGAGGTTGGGAAATTCGGCGGGGAAGCTTTGGTTAGTCTCGAGTATGGGGGAGCAGCCAGCAGGGGTGGAGGGGAAAGAGCAGAGAAAGGTAGAGGTGGGATGGCATGTGTGAGTGGGGAGATGATAGATGGGGACCCCTAGCACGGTGGCCTAGTGGAAATAGGGCCACTAGAAATTGTATGCCACACACCAGCGGCTACACGACAATTGGCGCCGTGCAAAGAAAAAATGGAGTGGATCCATGGCGTCTTTAGCCAACTTTATCAAAGGTTTTCAATGTAAGTGACCGGAGGATCCAGTATGTCAAAGTGTACTTGATAGGGTTTTAGAGGCTTCAGAAGAGTACAGTTAAGGGCGTCTTTGACTTAGAGTCGTCTCTAAACTCTCTTCGGTTTGAAGACATCGTAGAAGCAGAGAGGCACAACTACATACGTCATAAGATAAGATACGATAGCCAAAGGAAATAGAACATACGGTTATTATAATATCTGTACGAGATGTTGTGATGTATGCCATATTTGACTAGGTTGCGTCGAGATGTCTGAGAAAAAGGTAGAGCCCATGTGGATTGCATTGAAAGAAAAATATCCTTGTACAATATATAATACCCGTCACAGGTTAGCAGTCATAAAGTAGATGGAAAATATAGCATCACCACAAAACCATATTCCCTCTATTTCAAATTATAAGCCGTTTTAACTTTTGTTGGTACATACAATTTATTATGTATCTAGACATACGTTATGTTTAGAGACATAGCAAATTGGTTGTATCAAAAAAATCAAAGCGACTTATAATTTAAAACTGAGGGAGTACATTTTAAGTATTGTGCATGATGCCTTTTTATCTCATCGTGTGTCTGCGTGCGTAATAGCTTACAAAGCTTGTGAAGAACACGTACACGAAACGAGCATGTCGAATTGGTGATTGGAATAGGCATCAGTATACCCATCTCAAACTGGCTAGTAAAAGTTCATTGCTTTGAGAAGAACGTTATTTACCCATTTATATACTCCTCCATTCTAAATTATAGCTCCTTAGTGAACTTGTAAGTTCGTTTTTCATGCAATGGACATTATACGTCTTGTTATATTTATCACAATATTTCATAAAATGAATATGCTTCTATCATGAAACGGCGGTGAAATAAAGTTAAATATGTTAACTAGTCCTTTTGACCCTTTAGCTATATCTATAAGCTGGTGCATCTCGTCGTGTGACTTTTCTCCCTCATATGTACTATGCATATTTAGCTTTCGGAACCTAGAAATTGCATTGTGATGTTATACCTTAGGCACCAACGCGTGCGTCACAAGCTCTCAACGTACTTTTCCAACTAACTTCAGGTACCACCATACCACTCATTGCTTTGTCATTGGGGGCTTGTTTGGTTTGCGGCTTAAAAAAGTTGTCTGGCCAAGACAAGCTCCCCAGACATCCGATTTTAGACGTCAGCAGGCCTCAATCCAAACAGGCCCTGAAATGTTACGAAGCAAGTTTTTCTTTATCGAGAAAAAACTGAGCCGAGCTTCTTTCTTCTTAGAAAAAACTATACGTCCTTGTGTGGAAGATCTGCAAAAAAATTGTGATCCAATCTTTTTTTTATCTATACATACATTACCCTCTCTTTCATCGACCATGCATCAAGACTCGCGACACCATAAGTTAACAACAAAGGACATGTTATTGACTATGCATGATGCACGTACATGTGCGCGTGTGTGCATAGCACAAGCTCCCTTCCATGGCCATTTCAACTAACATGGTTACTTTGTGTGTGCCATGCATGGATATCAAGTTGTTAATCCAAATCCAAATAGTGTGCCATCGGGGCCACACGTAGTCACCTACCATGGCTAACTAGCAAATTAATTGACTTCATTAGTCGATTCGATAGACATATCAATTAGTCTATCGACACTGCATATATCACTTCGCTAGCTTGTGGCGTTAGCTATCATGGCTGCCACCATCAGGGAGAGAGCCCGCACTATAGATATGCTAATGCCATGCATTGTGGCCTCGAGATTATTTATAGATAATAATGATGCACTGTGAGATGGGCGTGGATGGATGGAGAGTATATTATGACTAGCCGTTGACTGTATTCATCATACGGCGGTGCATGTGCGCGGTTGTTGCATCGCCACATAAACATGCATGGGATTACCACCTCGTCCTCCTACTATTCGTCCACGCGTCACCAAGGGTAAAAAAAAAATTCAGACAATTGGTTGTGGTGCAATTGTGTTGAGATTATCGGATAATTAAAGGACACAGCAATATTCTGTGTCTTATACTCCCTCCCTCCGTTCAGGAATGATAACGTATCTTGACCAGATGAAAAAAGATAAAATTTTCAAATTTTGACGAATAATTAGTCAAACTATATATGCAAGATAATGATAAGAGAAATTAAGAGTCAAAATCTACTATGTATGATTTGTTTTCTTTTATTATTTTTCGAAAGATAGCTTTATCTCAAACGGTAAACAATCGTCACCTGCTGTCTTGCCATTATTCAGGTTAAACGAGCAAAACAGACACTTAAACGGGCAAAACTGCTAATTAAACAGAAACAATTTAATAGCATTTGAATGATGTGTTAGTTGAACAGTGCCGAGAGGGAAGGGCAGGTAGTAATACTCTGTTCCATAAGTCCCAAAACATACCTTTTAAATTTTGACCAAATATATACAAAATATATAATATTCATTATGTATAATAAGTGTCTTTAGATTAATCATGAAATATACTTTCACAATAAATTTATTCTAAGATACAAATATTGATATTATTTTTTATATTCGTAGTCAAATTCAAACAAAATAACTCCTCGAAGAGTGAAATAATATTCGTTTATTTCGGGACGGATGTAGTAGTTAAAAAGCTTTGCCTCTTATGGCAGAAAGAATCTCTTTTCTTTTAGAGAAAAACTGTGACAGTAGTGATTGAAAAAAAAAAAGTGATAGCCATTCTACCTGTAGTGTGATGTGAAGCCACAGCGGCAGGAGTACTAGTACAGGAACACGCTTTCTCGATCGCGTGCACGAGCGTCAAGTCTACCTTGCCTGCCTCTAATGCTCATGATGCATCTCCTGATTCAAAACCGAGTAACAGGTGGCGAGACGCTCCACTCTAGTTGGACAGCTAGATTCTAGATATAGCAAACACAATAGTCCAATACTGAGTTGAATCGTTCCATTTGACATTTTCTTCTTAGAATCCTTGAATCAATAAATAAATTATAGCAAACGAGAGCACAGCACCTGGGCTGGGCACTTGAATGGTCATGCATGGGTTTCCGTGTAGAGATCCGCTCTGATCTGAACAACCTACCTGCTGTTGTCGGGAGGAGAAAGAGAAAGAGATCCGGGTCCGGGATGATCCCAGTACCAGGTCACTGCTCAGCCTCGTGGTCGTGGGGCTAGACTGGTGGGCCCAGATAGCGGGCGGGTCCACGCGCCCGCCCGTTGGCCCACGTACCCTCTACCGACAACTGTTGTCAGACTGTCCTTTCCCTCTTCTCTTCAGGCTTCAAGTGTTCTGAATAAACTGGCTGCGTAGCAGTAGCGCACCTACTATTTTACGCTGGTTTTAATAATTTCTAAAATAAAATGATGAACCCACACCCTCGTTTTGGATCAGTTTTGGAACCGGAACCCATGGATTTCCTCTGGATTTTGGCGAGATCGTGCACAACGCGCTGCAAACACTACTCCAACATGGGAATGAGCAGCAGCAGCAGCAGCAGCCATTTCGTCAGCTGAGTCCCTAATGTATTTCGACCCGTCAGTCCTACTGTACACCACAAAATATCTCACTCAGCTGAGTCAGCTCCTCCTTTCCAAGGAGGAACAAGGACAGCGAGGTAGATAGAGATATTTCTGTGAAGTCATGCACGCAATACAACACTGCAGCAAAGCTAGTACAGGTACAGGAGCAGGCAAGCTTGTCGTCACGGAAAAAGCTCTTGCGTTCATGTTCCTCATAACCAGATGTCCAGATGGCGCTTATGATTGCATTCCATGCTTAATCTCGTCTACCAAACTATATTGTACCTTCCATACAAAGATGTACAAGTTTTTTACGTATTCTCAAAAAAGAAATGCTTCATCTCGTCCCGTGTACGTACTAGCTTAGTGCATATATACAACGGAGTGGTTAGCGTCAGGACGCTGCTGCCGTTTCTTCATCGCGATGTTACCTCTTTTTTTTTAAATCCTATATTCTACTCGAGTGTTTTCGTCTCTATCCACACACATTTTTTTTTCACTAATCAACAAATGCCACATACCTGGTTTATCCTTATCCGGTGTCTTTCTCACGTCATCTTTGTTTTTGACGAGGTCTCCGGTGGATTAGGGTTCGAGGTGGGATATGACATGGTTGAGTTATCCCCTAGCTGGCGTAGAAGGGCGATAGACCGGACCGACAATGGTGATGGCGTGAGGGTGGCATGGATCAGATTGACAAGCGGGCAAAAAGACGGTTGGGCCGGGCAAGAGCTGGGTGTCATATGGTCGGCAAAGCCTGATTAGCGTGGCGATCATAGTGAGTCGCCGTAGACGAAGGAGGAGAGGGCAGGGCAAGGCAGAGGTGCGGACGAC